TTTTTTTTTTTTTTTTTTTAAGTTTCATCTGTGAAAATGAGGCTATTCCGATACCATCGCACTGGGAAAATGTAAATACTGAGGAGGCATATCAGGTAAGAGTCTATATGTGAGCTGGCCAAAGTCACGTGGCCATGAAATAATGCATCTCAGTGAAATTATACTAACCTTTTTCTTTTCAGCTTATTCCTTTGCAAAAGAAAACAAATGAATATAATGAAGTTTCTAGTCTCTTTGGAAAAACAATGGATAGCCACCGAATTAAAAGAATTAAGAGAATACAAAATCTAGACTTGTGGGAGTTTTTTTGCAGGTGAGATTATTTTGAAAACCAATATTATTTTAGGACTGTTAACAGAACGAATATTGAAGGCATGCTGCAGAAATATGTCTAATTACTTTAAAAAAATTAAAATTCTTGTGTTACTTTTTTAAACAGTTGTGTCTTCATTTGCTTACTTGTCATTCCTCTGTGATTGTAGTCAAAATTGTATTTAAAATTATAATCTAAAGTCGCTGAAACTTCTGCATGTGCAGAACTAATACCTGCATTGATGCATTAGATGTGATTGTAGCACAGAGCAGACTGATGCGTTGGCGTGTGCTGGCATTTATCATCTTCAAGTATTATTCTAATGCAACAAATTGCATAAAAATCAGTATGTAAGGTCTTGATAAATTGGTTTGTGAAATATGCATTTGTTACTTGTCAAGATGAATAAAATGACAACAAAAGCTGTCATACTGGCTGTAGTGTGTTAGCTCTAGGACTTCAGTGTAGAACCAAAATGAACTGGAATATATAGTGAATGGAATATATCCCAACATTGCAGCCATTTAAGTTGTTCCATTTTTTAATTAGTAATTTCTTAATTAGTGTGCCATGTTTGGCGCTGCTGTCTTTCTTTTATAGTAATGTCAATCTCCTGGAGAATTTGGCAAAGTTATTTTTACTTTTAACATTTTAAGAAAGTTTTATTTGAACTAAACCTTCTTATTTTTTTTTCGTGAAAAGTTTGAGAAGTCACTGTTTTTTTATGCAGAAGCATTACACTCTCACAGAAGTCATTTTTTTCAGAACACTGTGGCTGAATTCTGAACTTCCCGTTCTCACATGTGGCCAGTGTTCAAGATGTCAGTGTAGTAGAGGCTCATCATATTTACGGTGAAGTGAAGAGGAAGAAAATAAGCACCTTTTTTTAAAATTTTCTTCTTTTTATGAAACAGTGTCAGGCTTGCATTAGTTAAATATTAGTTTAAAAAGAAAAAAAAAATCAAGAATATTTGGGGCTTGTCACATTTCTTATCTTTATCAAATTTACGAAACACGTGGTAGACCTGAGTGTCTAATTAGCACGTAATGGTGCCATTTCTCCCAGCTTATTTCTAGCCAGACTATTTCTAGTTTTTCTGCTTTTTTCATATTGTGCTGGGCTTGAACTGAAATTGCTGAAGTTGCCACTTCTTTCCCAGTATCAGTCTTAAGTAGTTGTAGTTCATGAAAGTTCTCTCTCATCTCCAGAAAAGGGAGCATTAAGGTAAAATTTAAAAAATGTACCATGTTATTAAAAATAGCAAGTTTAAATAATGAAGAAATACTGCGGAGACATATGAAAGATGTTGGCCGTTGTTTACTTTGTTCTTTTGAAAGCTGTGACATTCATTATATATCCCCGTATATGTTCATTATATGTATCAGGAATATGCATGAAGAGGTGAATTTCTGTTTCAAGAGACTTGGCCTTTTGCTAATTCTGAATCTTATAGATACATTTACATTTAAATATAAAGTCATATTTGCCTAGCCGTATGTTTTAATACCTATTGTTCTGTTGAGTAGTACATCAGCTTTTAGTTCAAAATAAGTTTCTAAAGAGCCGCATCTTTCCCTTTTAATGTGTAATTTTTCGAAACTAAGCATAGCAAGCAGATTTTAAACTAGATGTCCCCTGTTCTGAGTCCTCAGTATAGATTTACAATGAAAACAAAAAAAAAAATCTCACCACATGGAGAAAAAGAACAAAACTCCCTCCCTCCATATGTCAAATAAACAACTTTTTGCTTAGAAAAGCAACTGATCATTTGGAGAGCCTACTAGTTTTCCAGGTTCAACAGTGGATAGAGTTTGTGATTTAAGAATTTTGAGTCTATTGTCTTGTGCTGTTAACATTTTAAAAATACAAAGGAAGGATGGAAGTTAGATTCATGCATCATAAATATTACAGTAAAGCACCTAAAAAACTGTTTTTAGTAGCTGTATCTGAATAAAGGTATGTGAAGAAAAATCATTTTTATTTATACTTTCCCTTTATGGAAATGCATTAATAAGCCAATTATGAGTAATAGCAAGTAGAAAACATTGTTTTATAGACAATCAAGGGCTCCTGAGTATGTATAGCCAGTGGTTTAGACATAGCTCCAGAGTCCAGTTCTCATGGATCTTAGTAGAAAATGTAACTGATAGAAACTCTCTTGAAGAAAGATTGATGGAAGTTAAATCTGTCCTTTATTGTAGGACTGCCATGGTCTTCTGCTTGTGTGAGTGTAATATATACATATATTACGCATGCATGAGTCTATATTACACATCAGCCTATATTGCACATCATATATATATGTATTTGTGCATATTTGTATATATGTATATTCATATACATATATTTTTGACCATTGTTCAGAATGCTAGAGTGATGTAATCCTGTCAAAGCAAGACCTGTATCATTTGGGAAGCAAGTGAGCCATTAATTCATAAAATGGTTATAAAATGATCTTGTAGACATAATTTTAGGTGAAATTTTAGATTATTTTATTTTAATGGATTTTTTTAAATTTTACTTGGGTAATTACACTTTATAAGCTACTAACTGATTTTACCCCGCCGTAGGCTATCTAAGCAGATGAAGGAAACAAAAACAATGCACACCGTGGGGGAAAAAAAAATCTTATAAAAATAAATCTGTAGAGAATGACCATTCTGAAAAAAATGCCAAATTAACAAAGTTGGGAAAGTTGGTAAACTCATCTTATGGAAATAATCCACAGTATCCAGAAATTTGTAATGTGTAAACATTTATCCTAAGAATTCTAGTGTCTTTGAGAACTATAATCTAGTCACTTGGGAAAGTGGAATTTATGCGGTTTCGCTACTGCCCTCTCTGTAGTGTTTTTAGGGTAGAAACTTAATTTGATTGTACAGATGTTTGTAATTGTATAATGTTTCTGTTTGTAGGAAAAAAGCACAACTGAAGAAGAAAAGAGGTGTCCCCACTATTAATGAGCAGATGTTATTTCATGGGACCAGTAATGAATTTGTAGAAGCAATATGTATTCATAACTTTGACTGGAGAATAAATGGCATGCATGCTGCTGTATATGGAAAAGGTAAATATTTTTCTTACTTGCAACAATTATTCTCTTTGGAAGTGAAGAGCTCTTTAATATAGCTCTGGTTTTGAGGACAAGTATAATTAAGAAAGCTCGGATGTTCTCAGCAATTTAATTTTAAAGCTGACTGGTAGGACAGAGGTGAGAAGAAGCAGCAAGCAGCGGTGTCTCACAAGACGACCTTCTTACTAAAGTGTTCACAAAGAAAATATTTGGCTCATGTTTCTGTGTTGTTCTAGAAGATAATCATTGGATTGGTAATGAATATTAAAGAATTGACCTCTTCATTTTTCATATCTCTTATCAGTGCACTGGTAGTAAAGCTGTCATGCTAAGAATATCATCAGATTTCTTTTCTTTCTTGAAAGGGACCTACTTTGCAAGAGATGCGTTATATTCTAGTCGTTTCTGCAAAGAAGACATAAAGCATGGAGATACTTTCCAAATTCATGGTGTGAATCTGCAACCTCATCTGCATAGACCTGATAAAGTCATGTTTCTTGCTCGTGTATTAACTGGTGACTATATCAATGGTGATTCAAAATACATGAGGCCTCCTTCGAGAGATGGAAGTTTTGTGAACTTGTATGACAGCTGTGTGGATAATACCTGGAACCCAAAGATCTTTGTTATCTTTGATGCCAACCAAATCTATCCTGAGTATTTAATAGAGTTCTGTTAAGTTTGAAAGGAGCTGAACTGCATATTTGTTTGTGTCTTTTTTGGTATTTTGTTTCTCTTGCAAAGATGATAATACAAAAACATGAAGAATGAGAGAGGTGAAGGAGGGGAAAAGCATATCTGGGGAGCGACCTGTTACGTATTTAAAAGATGTTGTGTAACTCCTTTTAAAATCTGTAAATAAACTTTACTGATACTGATACCTTTTTCAAATGTAGGGCTTATAACATTTGAAATTGCTTAGAGAGCCTTAAATAAATTGGGTGTTGTTAAGTTTTCAAAGACAAGATTTATGACCTGTTTTTTTAAAGTATATTGCAAGTATTTATTCATATGGTAGATGATACAGTATGCATATAAGTGAAATCTTTTATAAAGATGGTCTTTATAATTCAAAACAAAGAACTGCACAGAGGACTTGACGATATATATGTGTGTGTGTATGTATGTTTATTGTGTAGTACATGCTGGTTTGCATTTGGAGATGTTAGTGTGAAATCTAAACCAACAAAAAAAGAAAGGACCTAAAGTTCACCCAAGCTGTTATATTTAACTTAACGTACTCGATTCTACTTCAAATTTACTTGCGAAATTACAGAACTCTTAAAAGTTGATTTTTTTTTGACAGAAATGATGCCCTAGCGTCGTCGTCGTTGTTACTTGTTTAGGTGTATAACAGTTTACCTCAGTACTGAGATCTCAGCCGTTAAATGCCCTTGACTTTTGTTCCACAGATGGGTTTTTTTTTTTCTTTTTTTGATGGTAGTGGTGGTGGTGTGTGTGCATGCTGTTGGCCTCTGTATTTGTGCTGCTGTGCTTCTTGTCAGCATTGAAGAACTCGGTTCTAATGTACTTGCTGTTGCTGAAAACTGCTTAGATTAGTAGCAAAAATACCAAGTTTCAACCAACAATGCAAATTTTGGAGGACAGCATCCTTTCACTTTTAAGAACTTCAATAATGAAAAAAAGCTGTTAGTAGATCTTGTAGAAGTTGGGCATCTGTTGCTTGTTTGTGTTTAAAATTTCATTTAAGCTTCTCCTTCTGGTTCTGTTCCAAAATTCCTCAGGACAGGGAGGCATCTTCCTTTGCCTTAGCACACGATGATGATCTCTGATTCCAGCTGGAACATTCAGGTGCTGTTGTGGGCATGAGTAGTGTTGGGATTCACCAGCATGCCAGCTGTGCAGAAGGCACGTGGCTTCCTGCATCTCCTAAAACATTTGATAGCAATTCACGTGGGTAGTTGGTGTGTTATCAAGTCCTCTCTATTTTTATACAATATTACATAGAACATACACTGTATGAACAAACATGTGCTGTTAACAACTTGATCTGCTCTTTGTGTACTGTATTCTATCAGACAAACACTGTGAAACTAGCAAATACATGTATTGATACTCGTTTGTTTTCTTTTATTTGTTCACGAGTCTAAACTGGGCTGTGTAGTTAAGAAAACTGAAGTAAGCTAGTGTCTCATGAACACAAAATATCCTAAGTGGAACTAACCTTGATGATTTTTTTTTCCTAGCTGTTGTGCTAGTGTCTTGTTTGTTACCTAAACTCAATGAAATTAAATGGTAGAATCTTAGTTTGTCAAGTCATGGTACAATTACAGGTTGGTTGGCTTGTTTTTAATGTAATATTCTCTCTTGTTTCCATATGATGGCCTTTTACTGATGAATCTTGATACTGAAGGTATCTACATAATCTTTATAAAATACTAAAACAATCCACAGAAGATGAAATTAACTCTTCAAGATTTGAATAGCATTTAAAATGCTAGTTGGGCTGTCTCTTTTTAAATGTTATATATTTGTCATTAGATTGAAATGACTGCTGTTAGGAAATTTGTGGACTTTGTGCATTTTGGAGACTGCTGTTCAGATGCAGAAACAGGTTGATACGTTACTGCCTATTTACTGTAGCCTGGTTCAGTGATAGCAAGAAATAGTGTTTGATACAATGATTTCAGATTCAGCTTTTTTGCTGCTGTAAGGATATGTGAAATACGAGCACGTTCACCTTAAGGTTATCAGAACAAGGACATTTTCAGTTCAGATCTGATAGTGAGTAAAGGGAAAGCAATAAAAAAGACATAGGGACGAAAACCTGATAGATAAGTAATAAGGTAGACAATGACAGACAAATTCTTCAGACATTAACTGTGAGGAATTAGAAAACTACAGGATGTAGTTCTGGAGAGGGCCATCCCATAACTAAAAACAGAGAAATAAGACTAACATGAAGACTTGGGTTATTTGAGAGGGACCTATGGAACTGTCTGATAAAGGAAGTTTAGGGAAAAAGGATCAGGAAAGAATAAAGAGCAAACTTCAGGAAATAGAGAGGAGGCGAGAAAAGAAGTCAGTTGTGTGTAAGTAGCTGCTGGTCGTTATCCACCTAAGCCTTGTGCCTAATCACTGTAGTGCAGCCTATGCTGATGAACCCTTTTTTAACTGTTTTTCAGTGTAATCTCACTTCTTATTGCATGTGTGAGTGCTGCACGCCTTGGATTCCAGTGACTGGAGATATTGGAGTGGGTTATGTTACGTGCCAGCATCTGGAGTCAGACCGTGGGCTATAGCACCCCCCATGTCTGTAGTATCAGCAGCTGGAAAAGGTGAGGGTCTGGACATTGGCAAGTACTGGAGGGGGACTGGAGGATTTATGTTTTTTCCTCTGGTGCTTTTATGTATAAAAGTTGCTAGCAAACTTCAAGACGGACCAGTCAGTAATCAGGAGGCGCAAGGTCTAGGCATTGCTGGCAGTCAGGCTGAGAGTCAGTGATGATACTGCAGGGATCTGGGAGCATGGGAAGCTGATAAGAGGTGTTTGTGAGTGCCCTGCATCTCATAGCTAGCGGACCTCAATCAGCCTAGCTAGTGAGCAGACCTCTCTAATGCCTAAGGGCCTCAGGATGCAGGTGCAGCTATTTAGCCAGAGGGCCAGGGCTGGTGTGCAAGGAATCTGAATGTGTGTGGTCTTCTGGATCTACAACAAGAAATAAGGGCATTTGTGACCTGTGCAAGAAAGAAAAGCATTTTTCAACTGTAAATTGAGAGAAAGTTGTGCTGCGAAATGTGTTTTGCAAATCTGGTCCTGCATTTGTCCTAACTTGAGGGTTATAGTTGGAGAGGCCTTGGAACCCCCCTGCATTAACCACTCACATATGGAATGAAAGCTCCTAGAATTATTTGCAGCTGTTTTTCATCCTGACACCTAGGCAGGAGGCAGCCAAGGTTAACACAAAGACTGGAAATTTGTAAGTCATGTGAATTCCTTAATTTTAAAGGACCTTCTTGAATGCATAAAAGTAAGAAAATATTTAGTGTATGAATATGATCAGGAAACTTTGTGCTGGAATGGAGAGAAGAATATGGGGGGAAGTGATCTGATGTAATAGCCTACTCAGACTAAACTCTGCTTGTTCAGGCTTCAGTCTGTTCCACGGAATGCCATAAAATTGATCTTTTCCTTGTGTGCTTTGAGCTGATAATTTGTTTGATACTGTTGTCACACTAGATAAGTCAGCAAACCAGCTGGTCCTGGATGTTTGCCAGCTGTTACCAAAGCCAGTTGTGTTTGCCTATGGAGTTCACACTTAAACATTTCATTTCGGGCTTGTAGATTTAGTCTTTTGCAGAAGAAGTCATGACTGGCCTTATCAGGAGCTTGCTTTTGGACTTCACTGCTTCGTGGCTATTTTAAGCTGTCTCTTCAGCTATTGGCTTTGTTAACTGGAAATGTCATTAATTTCTTTGTTTCGCCTACATGTTGCATGAGGATGGATGCCTTTGAGAGGTTGTTTCAATATTTTCCTTTCTCAAAAAAAAAAAAAAAAAAAAGGAATTATTTGCAGCCAGGAAGGAATGAAAGAAAAATGAGAAAGGAGAAATCTATCAGCATGCAGGGAAGCTGCTTGGTATGTGGGCTGAGAGTGTGCCTGTCAGAATGCTGATAATGGAAACAACCCTGTGTATCCCATTTAAAATGAAGAGTAGCTGGACCAATTTCTTATTTCAGAGTGCAAGCTAATTTATGCTAAATTTTACTAAAAAGGAATTAATTCCTTTTGAGACCAAAAAGGATAGCCTTAAATATTTCTTCTCTTGAGTTTTCCACTGATAATTTTTTTCCCCCCGTGGCTAAAAAGGGCAATACAATGTGTAAACAAATCAGAGGTGATGAGTATCGTGCTCATGTCATGGTTTCATGAACAATGCCAGACAACATAAGGCCTGCTCACCTCCCTCTTTCTGTTCCCCACCTTCTGCTTGTGTTCATGCTGTCATAAAGTAAACCAGATAAAAGATGTGTGCCAAAAACTAATTTGGGGGGGGGCAAATGTGGATTATTTAACAGTGCACTTCAGTTCCCTTTTCTGGTTTCAATATTGTTACATAAAAGACTGCTTGCAAATAGGCGAATGGGAGTTGGGGACAAATGTTATGGGAATGAGGGTAGCTCATTTGGCAGTAGCTTTAATTTATGGTCCCTCCTGCATGGAGAGGTGTCAGCTGTAATGGGGAGAATCCACCACCCCACACTTCACGACAAGGCCATTGTGCTAAAGTGGACAGAAAAGACTTAAAAGGCAACAGCATTACTCATCTACAACTGAGTGTATTGTAGCCGTGGTACGATTGCTTCAGAGAAGGATCTCCTAATTACCCAAAACATGTACAAAAAAGAATGGAATAGCCTTGCATACGGCTTAAGATAGAGGAACTAGACCAGTATTTCCGCTTGTGCTTCCTGATCCTGACACTGCGATGATGTAACTTCACCTTTCCACGCCCCTCCTCCCCTCTCATCGCTTGTCTTACAAGTTTACAGCACAGAGGTAGTGTGGATTTCCTCTGGCTGGAAAGCTTACTACCGAGTCTGACTACTGCCTCTTGTTGCTCTTTGTAACACGCTAACACGGCCTGTTGTGTTAAGTGATGTGCTACGTTACAATCCTGGTAGGGACTAGGCAGCATTTTTCCCTCTACCTACATTTGCAGAAGTGAGGATTGTTGATGAAAGTAGATCCAAGTCTTCAAAGGAGAAAGACTGTTGTAAATTAGGCTATCAAAGGATAACTGGATATACTGTGCTGTTTTCTTATTAACCAGGCCAATTACTTTAATTCTGGTATAAAAGGGCAGGCTGTCATAAATATTTCCTTCATACGTGTATTAACACAACTGTAAAGGATGCTGCATCTCTGTCAAAGCGCTATCAACTATTGGTTGATGTCACCAGTGTACTGATTTGACTCCTTGACCAGAGAGTTGTGCTAGTTGTACCAGATGACACTGCCAAGACTGCTTCAAACTTCAGACTATTGCTCTCTGCTGCTGTTCCAGGGAGGCGTTAATGATACCAGGGACTCCGAATTGGAGACCACCATTTCAGAGTTCTAGGGATAATATTCTCTGTCCCTCCAGCAAGGAGGAAGATGGATTTTGCAGGTTAATAACTGGCTATACGCTGGTGTTGGCAGAAAGGTTTGTTTTTTTCTGACCATGGAACACTGAAGACCAACAACACTTGGGAACACATGGAACACAGGACCTCACAAAGTGGGCCGCTCATGTCTTTGCCAACAGCTTGGTCAGCACAGTAAGGAGGGCCTTAGACTAGGAAAGACTTGAGAAAGGGAGAGTTAGCTCAAGTCAGGATGCACTGCAACTGGGGGATAGTGTAGGTGACATGACGATGGAGGGTCCTCTTGCACCCTGCCTGGGAAACCTGCATGCT